GGGGGGGGGGGGAAGGGACTGACTGCCGGTGAAGCAAAGGGCACACAGTAGGCCCTCAGCACAGGCTAACCAGCATTTGTGTCTTCAGATCTATCTGGGACGAGTTCACTGGGGCTGTGAGACGAGGTCGCTCAAAGCGCAGGCCAGGAGGAGAGTGGGGGAACGGGGCTAAGCCCAGGAAGCTGCGTCAGGCACACGGGCCACCAGGGGGCAGCACCGCCCCAGCCTGGCCACCCACCTGGGTGCCGGGATCCCGGTGGGACCTCCGTCTTGGCCCCAAATCCCAGCCCGGCCCCCGCGGGCTCCCAGAAGCACCACAGAGGGCTTTATATCTGATTTCTCCCCCTCATCCTGGAACCTGCCCTGCAGGCAGGCGGTTCCACTGTGTCACCCAGGTGAAGAAAGAGGCTGAGACACCCTGCTTCCACCGGCCAAGGTCTAACCTAAAACCCTTCAAAAGCCCGGCGGCGGGCCCGTCCCATATCCTGCTCAGCCGCCAGGACGACCACCAGCTCTCACCTGCCGCTGGGACCCTTCAAACCCCGACATTCATCCGCCCTTCCCTTGCCCTGGAATCCGCACGCGCTGGGCTGCCCGGGACCCCGGGACCAACCTCGCAGACCCTGATCAAGGGTGCCCGAGTGCACGGTGGGGGTGGGGGGCGAGGAGGAAGAACAGGACCTCGGAGCCCGTCAGACGTGGATGAGGCCAGGCCTTCTTGGCTCTGGGCAAGTGAGGATCCTATTTCCCACCTGTGAAACGGGGTGGTTGACAGCTGCCTGCCTCCGTCCTGTCACCCTGGAGGGTGAGCCGGCAAACTGTGGGGTGCCGTGCCTGTCACGGGGCTCGGGGCGCAGCGGTTTGCAAAAGTCCCTGTCTGCGGTAAAGGCTGTCGGTGGCCCGCCGGATCCTCTGCTGTCTCGGCCAGGCCACTCGCCCCCAGCTGCTGGCCCCCTCCCAAAGCTGCCCTCTCGGGGAAAAGCCGCGTGCCCCGGAAACGTCTGGAACCGTCGCGGGGCGGGAGGGGCGTGAAGGCGCAGCTGTGGGCCCGTGCCCGCTCCCGGGCTCCGCTTCTCTTGAACTCCCCCCTTCCTCCCACACCTTCTGGGCCTCTCCTGCTTCCCTCTCCCCTGTTGACAGGTCACGTGCTCTGGGCCAGGGGAGCCTGGCCTTGCCCCCCGCCCCCCCCCCCCCGGATGCCCCCAACGCAGGAGCAAACGGTGGCCTCCCGGGGGCCCCGCCCACCTGCAGCACCAGCAGCATCTGCACGATGGCGGGGGGCACGCGGGCGTGGGTGCGGGCCAGCGCCCCCTCCAGCTTCACGCTAAGGGTGATGGTGTTCCGGAAGTGCAGCAGGGCCAGCTGGCGCACGGACGGCTCCTTGCCCTGCAGACACAGAACGGTGCGCCCCGCCCGGCGGCCGTCACGGGAGACCCCCGCCTCCCTCCGCGTCCACACATCTGGGGCCAGACCCGGGGCCGTGGCCCCGCCGGCCCTCAGGCCCCTTCCACCCCGTCCTCCTCCCTGGATGACCCTCGTCCTGAAGACAGGGCCCCGTCAGCTTCCTCAGGCAAGGGGAGGGTCGCCGTCACTGGCCGAGCCCCGACTGTGTGCTGGGCACAGCCTACTCCGTGCTGCTCAGGGCCTTACGGGGCCCGCTCGGGGGGGACCGGCCTTCTTTCCAGACTGTGGGTGGGAGACAGGCTCTGGGAGGTCCAGGCACCTGCCCATCACCGGGCCGGGGGGGCCTGCAGCGAGGCCAGCACGGGCCGCGCCCCTCCCCCCCCGGGGCCCTGGGGGTCCCACAGCCGCAGGGGCCACTCGCCTGCACCGGGTAGAAGATGGCCTGCAGCGTAGGCAGCACGTCACTGAAGAAAAAGTCCCACGTCTCCGCCAGCGAGTCCAACAGTTTCTGTCCTGGGGGCACAGAGAGCTGTCACTGCGCTTACCCTGAAAGGGCCCTGTCAGACCCCGCAGGCCCCCCCGGGTGGGAGTCCTCCCCCGTCCCCAGGAGCAGAGGGCCCGGCTCCGCCCCGCCCCCAGGTCGACAGCACAGAGCACTCAGCAGCTCCGCGGCCCGGAGTCCGCCGTTCAGCCTCCCCAGTAATAAAACGGGACAGATGGGCTGAAACGGGGCAGAGAAAGTGCTGGTGAGTGCTGCCTGTTGCTTCCTGGTCCCTTGTCACACCCCAGGCCCACACAGGACCCCCCCGCCCCCGCCACAGGAGCCGCAGCGCACATCCCAGTCCCGTCCGGTTCCCACAGTGAGCCTCAAGCAGGTGGGGGATCCATCCACCCATGCAGGTGTTTCCAGAGCCCGCGCTGGGCATCCAGAGGAGCCTCAACGGTCCCCAGACTCATCACAGGACACGGAAGCAGGACCCCGAACGGCAGCTACGAGCACAGTCATCTGTCCATTGAAGGGGTGACCTCAACGGGCAAAGAGTCGGAGTCTCCAGGAGATTCAGGCCGTGGGTCCCTGCCACCCCGGGCTGCCTGAGGTGGGATCCGGGGAGCCAGGGAGACCACATCCAAGAGCAGCAACATGCCCCAGGCAGGAGAGGAAGCGGAGAGAACCAGGCAGGGAGGGCTTCCTGGAGGAGGTGCCATCCAAGCTGATTTAGGAGGATGGTTTGGCCAGGCTGACTGACATCCCCGGGGTGGAAAGGAGGCCTGTGGCCAAGCTCTGGGCATTTCCGCCAGCCCCGGGGAAGGAGCATCCATCCTCGGGGAGGACAGCCCCTGAGGCTGAAGACAGAGGTGTCCCCAAGCCGGCTCTGGGCTCCCCCAGCAAGTGCAAAGCGCTGAGCCCTCAGCCCCCCTGCCTGGACTGGACGGAAGGTGAGAATGAATGGCTGCGGGGTCTCAGACAAGCAGGCCCCGGGATGTGTCACCAAAGCCTCTGCCTGGTGGGACCCCCCCCAACCCCCTGGGAGCCAGACTGGAGACCGGCTGCGGAGAAATGGGGTGTGGGGGCATCTCTGGGCGGGAGGGCTAAGCGCCACATGCTGGCTGGTTTTCCAGACCGCACTGCTCACGTGGGGCTGTCTGGACGCTTCCACGGCAGCCAGGGGGCTGGACAGGGGCCTTTGCCGCTCCTCCTTACTTTCTCTGGTTTCTGGGCCCCACCCCTCCCCCACCCATAAAGCCCCCAAATCTGCGTAGGGCTCTGGGAGGGGGCAGCCCCAGGAAAGCCCACCCAGCTGAGGTGGCGTGGCCTCTGTGCACGGCCAATCGGCCGGCTCCTGACCCTCCCTGGGGGCCCACACCTAGCTCTGCGGAGCCCTGCCCTCCAGAGGTCCCTTCAGGTCCCCGCCGTTGGGGGCAAGAAGAAAGACGGCTCAGTTCCCTGGGCCGGCCGTGGGGTGGCTCTGGGCACCGGCCAGGCCGGCGTCCGCGGGCCGTCCTCCAGCCCACGGGGCGGAAATGCTGTGGAAGGCAGATGTCGTAAAACACAGACTCCGGGCCCCACGAGGGCACGAGGGGCCGGGAAGCACGGCCTCGCCCACTGGCCACGTTCTCCGCTGGGATCTAGGGGTGCCGGGGGAGGGGGGCGGTGACGGGGTGGTCAGTGGGCAGAGTCAGGCGGCACGGCGCTGGGGCCCTGCTCTGCTTTGCTGCGGGACCCCAGCGTGACCCTCCGTAGGGCGGGCGTCACGGGTGTCCTCATACACACGGGGCCTGGAGCCTGCAGGACACCCTGCGCCCCTCCGGGGAGGTCTCACGTGCCTGCCCGCTGAGGGGACTGTCCTGGCTGCAGCGAAGACCACCGAGCCACAGCCTCAGAAATGGCCCAGGAGAGGGACTCCCCCTCCAGGCTGTCCCTCCGGACTTCCTGCTTCTCTCTCCGCTTGGGAGCTGACGTCCAAGGCCTCGCTGGAGGCCGGAGGGAGTGCGGGGGGGTAGGCAGCAAGGTCCTGGGGCCACCCCGCGTGAGACCACCCATCCCCCTCCAGCAGAGGCACAGGTGAAGACATGGCTGGCCACAGGGAGGGGTCTCAAGGAAGAGCTCCCCTGGGACCCACGTGGGGGCAGGGGGCGGGTGGAGTGGGTTCCAGAGGCTGACCCTCAGGGTGCGGCATCAGCTGCTGTCCCCACGGTACGTACTGAAGGGGCCAAACGTCCTCCCGAACGGACCACGTTTTGAGGCCTGACTCCAGGGCCACCACCTCCGTGCAGCCCTCCCTGATTGCCAAGATGGAACGGACTCTTCCTTCCCCACAGCTTCCCTTCACCCTGACAGTCCTCACACTGAATTGCCACCTTCCGGTCCGTGTCTGTGTCCCCAGCTGGGCTGGATGGGAACTGGAGGCCAGGCCCTGCGGCCCCCGGACTGGGGCTCCATGCCTGCCCCCGAGGCCTGGGGAGGCTGGCTGGGGCCGGCACTCCCCCGCTGGGTGGCCTGGCGGACACGGCCGCTCCAGGCACGACTCCACTAAGCCGCACAAAGCTTCTCTTCTCTGAGGATCCCAGCTCCCCTGGTCCGGAGCTGGTGGGAGGCACAGCGCGCTGGAATGTGCCGAGTAAGGAGACGGGCGTGGGAGGGCGTCTCCACCCGGCGCCAGACCCCCACTGCCCTGCCCGGCTGGCTTCCTTTGCTGCCTCCTCCAGGAAGCCAGCCTAAACCTCTGGCGGTCTCTGTCTCCGCCTCCCCTCGACTGGTTCTGGTGGCCCTTCTCGGGCTCCTGCCCCGAAGCTTCCGCCCGATAGAAGCAGGGGTACAGGAAGACCGGGGGACAAGCGGCTCTGAGTTCAGCCGGCACCCACCAGGCCACTGGCCTCGGCGTCCTGCTCTGCGAAATGGGCTAGCACCCCTTCTTTCCAGGATCAGAGTGGGAACCGAGGCAGCAGCGTGGGCCCAGGAAGCAGGCCTGGGTGCCTCGGTTTCCCTCTTTGTGCAGCGGCTGCAGTAATGACGGCTCTTTCGCGGGGTCGTCGGGAGACCCAACGGATCGGTAGCCGGAAAACACTCAGGACAGTCCGGCACAGAGGAAGCACGTGCCCGGTGCCTGGTGCACGGAACGTGCTCAGAAACGTTCGTGGGGCTTGAACTCGGTGCAGGGCCTGGAACGAAACCGGCCTTGGAAAAGGAGGCGTGGTTTGGCCGGGTCCTCCCGTTACTCCATCTTTCCCTAGGCCAATTCTCTCGTGGCTGCCCCGAGGCCGAGGGCGCGGGAGCCTGAAGACCCTTCCCTGCTTGCTGAGGCCCCGGCCAGGCAGAGGCCGGCTGGAGCTCGTGGGGGCCGGGGCCGGGCTGGCCTGGGCTCGAACCTGCCCCCACCCTTTGCTCCCAGCGCGGCTGCAGACGGAGCCCCTGTCATCACTGAGCTGCCACTAGCCGTGAAGGGGACAAGGACCCGAAGGTCTCACGGGTGGGTGTGAACTTTAAAAGAGAAAACTCGTCTGGAAAGCCCAGGGCCAAGCTGAGGCCCCCCCCAAGCCCCACAGGGCAGCTGTGCCCAGCCAGGAAGCAGCCCCCTGCCAGCCTCCCCCTTCAGGAGCATCAGGGCCAACCTCTGCCCTAAGCTAGTTCCCTGGTCTTCAAACTGGGGCTCCTCCGGGCTGCCGGGACGGGGTTCGCTGGCGGCAGAAGGCCCCGGGGGCAGCGAGGGGAGGCAGGGCCTTTCCCCCGATGGCTCTCAGCCCCCCCGGGCTCTCGCAGGTCGTGGGAAGGCACACGCTCTCCCCAGTAAGGTCCCCTCCTGGGGTCAGAGGTGGTCTTCCCGCCTCTCCTGCCCTCCCACCCAGAGCCCTGGGGGCACAGAAAAGGCCGGCGACGTCACGCTGCCCAGCGGCCACACCAGCCGGGAGGGTGGCCGGGCGCCCGGTCCCCGCCACGGGGCCGCCAGACTCACCCTCATAGAAGCGGATCTTGTCCCGCAGGATCACCATGCCTTTCGTCAGCAGCTGGTTCTGAAAGCCACACACAGAGATGCCGTCACTGCTTTGGGGGGGGGGGGGGGGGGGGGG